GCTTCGTTTCTCTCCAAATTTCCGGAATTTTGGTAAAATCCTGAAAATGACATATTTGAACTTGAAACTGCATATTTCGAAAATTTTAGTCTAATACTGTCAACATGCTGTGTTTTTCTATTCAGCTCGTCGAGATCCCAGAATTTTTAGTGAATTTTTGGGCAACTTCGCGAAAATCTTAATTTTTTCAGTATCCCTCGTATGAAATTTTTGACCTTCCCCGAACAAGTTCGAACAATCGGAAAAGGCAATTTTTTGTAGATTTAGACCTATAGTAGTTGTTTTCAGGTTTGTTTCTCTCCAAATTCTTGGAATATTGGCAGAATCGTCAAAATAACATATGAAAATCCTTAAAATATTGTAAAAATTTGAATTTAGAACAAAATGTTTCGAAAACTTTGGTCTAAGACCATCAAGACGCTATGTTTTTCAATTAAGTTCGTCGAGATCTTCTATTTCCCAGAATTTTAGTGAATTTTCAGGCAACGTCATCAAAATATTCATTTTTCGATAACCTCATGTATGGATTTTTTTGACTTTTTTCGAGCACCTTTGAAAACTACCAAAAGAAAGTCTTATGTTGATTTCGATCACCAGAATTTGTTCTTGGTTACATTTTTTGCCCAAAATTCCTAGAATAATGTCAAAATCGTTAAAATAAATTTTGACAATTTTTAGAATATCATAAAAATTGGAATTTGAAACCAAATATTTCGAAAATTTTAATCCGAAACCATCAACACACGGACGGTGTTTTTCAGTTTAACTCGCCGAGAGCTAGATCCCAAAATTGTTAATGAATTTTAGACAATTTCACTAAAATCCTAATTTTTCAGTACCTACCCATCGTATGAAATTTTTGACCTTCCCTCGAACACATTCGAAAATGACCAAAAGACATTTTTTTGGTTGATTTCGTTCTCCAGAAGTTGTTTTCAGCTTTGTTTCTCTCTGAATTCCTTGAATAATGTCAAAGTCGCCAAAATAAAATATGGGCATCTTAAAAATTTGAATTTAAAATCGAATATTTCTAAAATTCAACAACAATCAACCCTATGTTTTTCAAAAATTCAGCTCGTTGAGATCTATGTTACAGAATTTTTCAATTAGTAGTAGATATTTCATGTTATTTCTTATTACTATGAATAATGTTTAATTTTCTATTTCGTTCTCAATTTTTCCGTACCCCTCGTAGGAAATATTTGACACCTTCCAAGATTACCAGAAGAAAATTTTTTCGTTGATTTTAACTTCCAAACGTTATTTCTGGAGTCGTTTCTTCCAAAATTCCTGAAATTTTAGCAAAATCTTCAAGATAAATTAGATGGTGATTTTTAAAATAGAGTAAAAATTTGAATTTGGAACTGAATATTTCGAAATTTTGGTCCGGGACAATCAACACACTATGTTTTTCAATTCTGGTTGTCGACATATGTATCCCAGAACTTTTAGTGAATTTTTGACAACTTTTCCGTATACCCTGTATGAAATTTTTCACTTTTTTGAGCAATTTTGAAAATCATACCTTTTATAAAAATTTGAATCTAAAACCAAATATTTCAAAATTTGGTCCGGGACCATCAACACGGAATGTTTTTGAATTCTGGTCGTCAAGATCTATATCCCAGAATTTTTAGTGAATTTTTAGACAACTTTTGTAAAAGTGAAATTTTTCCAGTGGTGCCCCCTTCTTCTTTTGGCCGAAATTTGAAGAAGGGAGGACCATTGGAAAAATTTCACTTTTACAAAAGTCGTCTAAAAATTCTGAAAAAATTCAGGGATGTAGATCTCGACATGCTGATTCCAAAAATATAACATGTTGATGGGCACGGAGCAACATTTTCGAAAGAATCTGACGAAATGTAAATTTTTAACGATTTCTAAAAATTTTCTGTTTGAAGTCCATTTTTAGGTCATTTTTGAGAGTAATTGAAAAAGGTAGAAATTTTCACAAAGAGGTCACAAAAATGACATAAGCGCAAAAAAAAACTGGATAAAAGAGCTTTAACCAAAAAATGGGCAATAAAAATATCAAAGAGAAATATAAAAAATCGGCAAAAGAAGGCCACAAAAAATACAATAAAAACGACAAAACAACAGAATTTACCCCAAAAAAAAAGGAAAGCAAAAGCGAAAAATTCGGAAAAAAGGAATTTAGAAATGGGTCAAAAAACTGCGATCAAAAACTGATTTTTGTTTTTCATTTTCCGGATTTTTTAATTTTCATTTTTCGGATTTGGTCACAATTTTTCGTTTATTCGTTTCTTTTAATTTTGTAATATTTATTTACATTTTATAATTTTTCGTTTATTGAATTTGTCAAATTTTCAATTTTAGATTTTTCAAATTTGCTATTTTTGGATTTCCAATTATAAGATTTTCCGAGTTCTTTAATTTTCAATATTTTGATTTTGAAAAACTTATTTCGTTTCGTCTAAAAATTCTGAAAAAATTCAGGGATGTAGCTCTCGACATGCTGACTCCAAAAATATAACATATTGATGGGCACGGAGCAACATTTTCGAAAGATCTGGACGAAATATAAATTTTTGACGATTTCTAAAAATTTCGATATTTTAACGGACGATTCTGGAAAAACGGTTGGAGTCGTCAAAGAATCGAGGCCGGAAATGAGTTCTAGAGCTCGAAATCTACAAGAAAATGTATTTAGTTAGGTTTCGAAATTGTGAAATTTTGGCCGAAATTTGAAGAAGGGGGGACCATTGGAAAAATTTCACTGTTACAAAAGTCGTCTAAAAATTCTGAAAAAATTCAGGGATGTAGCTCTCGACATGCTGACTCCAAAAATATAACATGTTGATGGGCACGGAGCAACATTTTCGAAAGATCTGGACGAAAAGTAAATTTTTGAAGATTTCTAAAAATTTCGATATTTTAACGGACGATTCTGGAAAAACGGTTGGAGTCGTCAAAGAATCGAGGCCGGAAATGAGTTCTAGAGCTCGAAATCTACAAGAAAATGTATTTAGTTAGGTTTCGAAAATGTGAAATTTTGGCCGAAATTTGAAGAAGGGGGGACCATTGGGACAATTTCACTTTTACAAAAGTCGTCTAAAAATTCTGAAAAAATTCACGAATGTAGATCTCGACATCCTGATACCAGAAATATAACATGTTGATGGGCACGGAGCAACATTTTCGAAAGATCTGGACAAAATGTAAATTTTTGACGATTTCTAAAAATTTCGATATTTTAACGGACGATTCTGGAAAAACGGTTGGAGTCGTCAAAGAATCGAGGCCGTAAATGAGTTCTAGAGCTCGAAATCTACAAGAAAATCTATTTAGTTAGGTTTCGAAAATGAGAAATTTTGGTCGAATTTTGAAGAAGGGGGGACCATTGGAAAAATTTCATTTTTGCGAAAGTCATCTAAAAATTCTGAAAAAAATCAAGGGTGGAGATATCGACATGCTGATTCCAAAAATATAACATATTGATGGGCACGGAGCAACATTTTCGAAAGATCTGGACAAAATATAAATTTTTGACGATTTCTAAAAATTTCGATATTTTAACGAACGATTCTGGAAAACGATTGGAGTCGTCAAAGAATCGAGGCCGGAAATGAGTTCTAGAGCTCGAAATCTACAAGAAAATGTATTTAGTTAGGTTTCGAAAATTTGAAATTTTGGCCGAATTTTGAAGAAGACCATTGGAAAAATTTCACTTTTACAAAAGTCGTCTAAAAATTCTGAAAAAATTCAGAGATGTAGATCTCGACGTGCTGATTCCAAAAATATAACATGTTGATGGGCACGAAGCAACATTTTCGAAAGATCTGGACGAAATATAAATTTTTGACGATTACTAAAAATTTCGCCCTAAAATCAGGATTTTTCGTATCCCCTAAATTTTTTTTTGAGCACTTTCGAAAACTAGCAAAAAGATTCTTTTGCTGATTTCAATCAAAAGAAGTTCTTCTCGGTTTCGTTTCCTCCCGAATTTTACCAGAATCGCCAAAATAAAATATATCACTTTTTAGAACATTGTAAAAATTTTAATTCGAACTGAATATTTAGAAAAATTTAGTCCGGTACCATTGACATGCTATGTTTTCCATTTCAACTCGTCGAAATCGATATTCCAGAATTTTTAGTAAAGTTCTAGACCTTCCAAAATGACCAAAAAACAATTTTTTTGTTGACTGTATCCTCCAGAAATTATTTTCACCGTCGTTTCTTCCAAAATTCGTGAAATTTGGCCAACGTCGCCTAGATAAAATATCAAATAAAATATTTATTGTAAGAGTTTGAATCTAAAACTGAATATTTCAAAAAAATCGTCGAGATTTGGTTTTTAAAAATGTATGAAGTTTTCAAAATTTATTTCAACAGAAAAAACATCAAAAAACATAAAAACTTAAATATAATAATGCTTTATTGCACATTATTTTCTAGTTTCAGGTTCAGTCTATGCGATAAAACTAATTAATACCTACTTAAATTACTAAACTGTAATCTACTTAAATTAACATTTAAAACCACAATTTAAAACCCAAATAATCTTCCCAAATAGTTTTCACCTAAAAGCCGTCCAAGTTAACTTCATGAGCGTCATATTATTCCAACTGTGACCCCAATATGTTTTAAAACGATTTTTAAGTGCGTCAGAGTTTTCCATAATGGAATCAAATTTAAATCCCTTATTTGTAGATAGTTCAATCCACATCTGGCCCCTCCAAATCGTTATATAATGGTAAAACATTAACCGTATCACTCCTACTATCATAAAACGTTTAAAATACGTGTCCACAACTTGCTCCTGATCTCCAGTTTTTCTAATTACCTTTCATCACCTCCACGTCACCCAGGTGCCTGCTTTTAATAAATTACTCTCAACCATTATCAGTCTAATTTAGACAAACACCAGCTCAATTTTTTCCGACCTGCCAAATCAACTGATTAATAGTCCTTCCGACAAAATTCCCGCGTGATTAATGACCGACTACTCTAAATGCGCATTAACCAATTAAACGTGCCTTCTGTTTCCACGTCCTCCTCTTTGGCTTCTTCGTTATAGAACGAAACTCGCTCCGACTCGCCGCTCTCGAGCGTCTCGGTGGTGTTGAGGACATCCTGTATATTGTTCGTGGGTTTCCTCCGTGCCCTGGGCAAAATGTCCCACACGGTCGGGGCTTTGGATGGGCGATGGTTGTTCGGAAAAAGGCGCTTTTCCAAGTAGTTTTGCAAAATCTGCTCTGTTATTTTATTCTGTCTTGCTATCTCCCGATAATCCAACTGAGCGCCTGAAAGCATTAAAATGATCAGTGTTGCTTGGAGAGAAAATAGATAAAACTAAGAAGTAAAGAAACGGCGATAGGAGGGTTATTGCTTTGTATATACAGGGTGTCTACCATGCAAGATTAGTGGCTCTAAGCGTACAACACTGATTATTTTAATACAGCAGGGGCGGGGTCTACTTCGAGAAGAAAAGAAAGAGAATACAAATCTGTACATTTTCTTGTTCAATTTTAATATTATAAATATTCGGACGCTGTCACAACACGTAATCATAATCAAATATTAGACAGGAACCTCTGGGTAATTATCACCGACCTTAACACACATACTTAGATTTATCTCCAAACAGAGTATCGACGTTTGCGATAATTACATAATAATTAGGATTATTATCCTTACAAATGTAAACTAAGATTGTTGCGCCATCGGAATGTCTTTTCGCATTCGGATGTCGAAATTTGATGGATGGTACTCGGCGCTTACCGGAGCAATTAAAAAGCGTAACAGTACTTACTGAACAATATAAATCTAGTAATCAGTGAAAGGTTCAGTACTTTCAAGTACCGTCGAACCGTTTTTGTTTCTCATTGTTTAATTAAAACGTTTTCAGCCCAGATTCCACTGAAAGTTGTCCAGTCCTGAGGAATTTTAGACATTTCAGGATTTAAGGTCAAGTAAACCTGTGCCTAAAACGGCTAATTGTACACTGGTCGGTAATATTTTTCCTTCAGGGTCGTTTACACTAGAATTAACTCTTCGATTTAATTAATTTTTTGGTGCCGGAAGTTTAGGCCTAAATTAATTATAGCAATCAGAACGAGTTGATTGTCACGATTGATGGAAAATGGGCGAAAATTGGGTACTTTTTGACCGTCTGTGGGAAATGAAGCTGTGCGATGGCCATTACTATGCAAATTTTATGTTTTATGCTAATTGCCGGGTATTTTGAAGAAGGTTGGGTCTGTGAAGAAATTAAGAGTTCAGGGTTTTGGCGATTTAATTTACCACATGCTGCGATTTTAGGGTCGGACTTTTTTTTAAGTGAAGTAATCGGAAAACTGTGGTTTCATGTTCTAGCCGTGAAGGATTTGCGAAATGAGGTAGAATTATGATTAATAAATATGTCATCGGGCGAAAAATGCAACATTTTCAAGGCTTTGATGGTTTAAGAGATTCAAAAGTTGTCCTGAGATCATTTTGACTTTGGAAAGTACCTAAGTTTTTTCCAAAACTGTGCTAATTTTCGATTCACTGGTAACACATTTATTTAGATCTTTTGCATAACTACTTGAGTCATTGACCTCAACATTTTGTTCATCACTCTATAAAATTTCGTAAATTTTATTCATAATTGATCACCGAATGAAGAAAAAACAAAAGTGAAAGGATTTTTGGGTTTAAAATTGAACTACAAAGATTTTTAAATAAATTATTGTGTCATTGACCGAGAGGATTGAAAAGGACTCGTTTTAATGTCACTCAGAAGAACGAAAAAACACTAAAATTGTGTTTGCTGAAAGTTTTTTTGTAAACGGCATTTTGTTCTTTTATACTGGTCTGGACTAGAGTGGAAATATTGTGAGAAGAACATGTTGAGTCGTCACCATCTGTCACTTAGTCCTCGACCCAAAGCGTATTAATTGAGGTCTTAAAGGCACCTTTTGCCAAAATTTGCGAAAATCCAGCCGCTTTTATGACTAGTGAATCGTTCCCAAAATATTTCCACTCTACTTCTAGAATTTGTGAACCTGGGAATTATCTAATTGCTCCTTAATTATATAAACTGCGATCAGAAAAACAATTTTTCAAATTCTCGGTTTTTGTTTTTCTTTATCCCGATTTTTTAATTTTCATTTTCCGGCATGTTTCAAATTTTCAATTTTCGATTTTTCAGTTCTTCGATTTTCCAATTTTTCCAATTAGAAGATTTTCAGAGTTCTTTAATTTTCAATATTTCGATTTTGAAAAACAGATTTCGTTTTTTCGCTTTTGCACTTTTGGGGTTTTGAAATTTCTCAATTTTTAATCTTTCGATTTTTCATGTCTTCAGTTTTTCAAGTTCTTCGTTTTCAGTTTTGAGATTTTTCAAAGTTTTCATATTTGATATAGCAATTTTACAATTTTGCAATTTTTCCGTTTTTTTATTCGAAAAGTTGAAAAATTGGAAGAAAATCGAAAAACTAAAAACACGAAAAATTGTAAAATAGAAAAGGTGGAAAATCCATAAATTACAAATCGAAAAATTGAAGACACGAAAAATTGAAACATCGAAAAACTAAAAGTAAAAAAACTTGAAAATTGTCAAAAAGTGTAACATTGAAAGATCGAAACATACAAAAATGAACTATTGAAAAATTGAATAAATTAAAAAGTTTTAAAATAACTGCAAAGTGGAAGAATTATAAAATTGTAAAATTGAAAAAGTGAAAAAATTTTAAAAATTATAATAATTGTACATCTGAAATGAAAAAGAGAAAAATTGCAAATCGAAATTTGGAGAAACGAAAAATTGAAAAATCATGTAACTGAAAAATCTGAAATTGCAAATCTTAAAATTCTCTCAAAAAATTATAAAATATGAACACTGAAAAATCGAAAAATTGAAAAAATAAAGATAATAAAAAACCGAAACGGAAAATTGTAAATCGGAAACTTGAAGAATGGAAAAACAACTAAAAATCAAAAATTGAAAAATCGAAATAGTAAAAACTGAAAGCTCGCGAAACTACAAAATCTAAAAATTGAGACACCATTTTTTTGCAATTTTTTATTTCTTCAGTTGTTCAAATGGGATTTTTTTTTATTTTCCGAATTTGAATTTCTCAGTTTTTCGTTGCTTCAGTTTTACGATTTTGCAATCTACGAATTTTTACTTATTTTAAAATTTCTCCATTTTAACTTCTTGATTTTTCAGTTTCTGGATTTTTTCTATTTTACGTTTGTTCTGTTTTTCGATTTTACGGTTTTTTCTGTTTCAAATTTTTGGGTTTTTCGGAATGTGATTTTTCAATTTTTCATTTCTTCAGTTCTGTGATTTTACAATTTTCGAAAATTTTGGGATTTTTTTTTTAATTTTTAGTTTTAAATTATTCAACTTTTGATTTTGCGGTTTTTCGTTTCTTCAACTTTAAATAATTATAATTGAAAAATCAAAAACTGAATAACTCAAAATCGAAAAAAATTAAGAAATTGGAACTGGAAAAATAAAATACTAAAAGATCGGAACAGTAAAAAATCAAAAAATTGTAAAAATAAAGAAAATAAAAATCGAAAGGAAAAATTGCAGAAACGGAAAAAGAATTTTTATTTTCCTTGTTTTTACAATTTTTCCATTTTTCGATCCTTCAATTTTTGGTGTTGCAAATTTTCGTTTCGGGTTTTTATTTTCTTTATTTTTAGAATTTTTCGATTTTTCGATGTTCCGTTTTTATATTATTTTATTTTTCCAATTCCTATTTTTTCAGATTTTTGTTTGTTCCATTTTACGATATGCTGTTCGAGTTTTCATTTTTAAGTTTATCCCATTTTTCAAATTTGACTGTTCAACTTTAAGGTTTATTCGATTTTTCATTTCTTCAGTTTTTGGATTTGTAATTCCTGATTTTTATTTTCTTTATTTTTTCAATCTCTTGATTTTTCAATGTTCTGATTGTAAAATTTTTCTTTTGTCAATTGAAAATTTCCCAATTTTTCGGTTTTAAATTTTTCGAGTTTTCAACTTTTTTAATTTTGGTTTTGTTAATTTTAGATTTTTCATTTCTGGATTTTTCAATTTTTGTTTCTTCAAATTTTTATTTGCAGTGTTTCTGGTTTTAAATATTGTAACTAATAATAATTATGGTTTTTAAAATTTTTCAATTTTACCATTTTAGAATTTTTCCATTTTTCAATTATTGGATTTTAAAACTTCGATTTTTCAATTTTCGAAAAATTGCAAACCTTTAAAAATTGAAGACATAGAAAAAATGAAGAACTGAAAATCGCAAATTGCAAAAACTGAACAAATAAAAAATTGAAAAGACAAAAAATTATAAAATCGGTACACTTAAAAACCTAAAAACCTAAAAATTGGAAAATTCAAAAGCTGGAATGTTGAAAAACTGAAAAACTCCAAACATTGCAAATCGAAAAACTGAAGAAACAAAAAAAGTTAGAAAATCGAAAAAAGTGAAAAATTTAAAAATGAAAATTCCACAGTTGCATAGGTATCGTAAAAATGAAGAAACAAAAAATATATGAAAAATTGAAAAATTGCAAATCGAAGACCAGAAGACGCCAAACAAACATTGAAAATATTGTTTGAAAATATTATAAAATGGGAAAACTGAAGAAATTTTTATCGAAAAATTGCACAATCTAAAAACAGAAAAAAACAAGAAAAGTGAAAAACTGAAAACTAACAAATCGAAAAGTTAAAGAAACGAAAAATTAAAAAAAATAGGATTGAAAGACAAAAAATTATAAAATCGAAATATTAAAAAATCGAATCATTGAAAAAATAAAAACAAAAAACCGAAACGAAAAATTGAAAATCGAAAACCCTAGAAACTCGAATCAAAAAATCTCAGAATCTAAAATTTTAAAGATTGGAGAATTAAAATCTGAAAAATTTAAGCTTGAAAACTCGAAAATTACATATAGAAAAACGGAAGAAACAAAAAAAATGAAGTGAAAAAAACTACGGGGGTGTAAAAACATAAAAAAAGGTCACAAAAATGATCATAAAAAGTCAAAAAATAGAAGGGAAAAATAAAGTCTAAAAATAAAAGCGACAAGAAAAAAACAAAAAAAAATGAAAAAAACACAATAAAGGGCAATAGAAAACGGGTTATAAAAGCCAAAAAACTGAGTCCAGAAACAAAAGAAGAAGACATTAAATTTACGTCAACTGAGTCGTTCTTCTCAAAGTATTTTTACTCTACTTCTAAAGTTTGTAATTATAAAATTTGACATCCACTATTTGCGCTTTAATCGCCTAAATTAAAGAATAAATTCGAGTAAAAAA